TGACATCATACAGTCAACCCATGCCAGAAATACTGACTTCAATCCAAAAAATTATAGCATCCGGTCAGGATGTTATTTTGGGGGGACCAGGTCTATCTGAGTGCCCGTGTCCCACTATTTATCAGTTCAGTAATAACAATAAAAGGCTCTTTATTCTGTATCCACTCGCCTGCACTGTGAAGGCTTATTTGGGTTCCACGGAGGCAACGAATTAATTACTTAATGTTCATTTGTATTTTTCCCAACATTAGGCCAAATTTACATTGTGGAACGAGCCATCCATATAGTATGTGTCATAATTACTGTTTTGCAATTTCACACCAGCAAAAAATTATTAAAACTTCACGACTCATTAATGGCAAGTGATCATGATCGCTTAACAGAAAAGGAAGCGGCTAATGACGGCGGCTTTGATGAACGTATTTGACCTTAAGTCATGAAGCCAAGTGAAATTAATAAGGCCGGGTGTTGAACATACGGTTTTTTAACAATGCACATCATTTCAATCATCGTAAAAGCCGAGCAAACTAGTTTTCAGTTTGACTCAATCTGAAAGCCTTTTAAGTCTTCACAACAAATTAAGGGGATGGGATGTTAATGAACTGCTAGACAATGACAATTAAGTGATGGGATGTGAGGAGACACAGAAATGGCTCTTTTTGATCCCCAGTGCGGGTCTCTGATGTCCACTTGGCTGGGGAAACCGGCAGACGTGTCACCAGGGCTGAAGTCTGTCTCAAAAGAATTTAGCGTGTGGCCCTGGTCAGTTTAGCTCAGTGGATAGAGCATTGGCCTGTGGACTGAAGGGTCCCAGGTTCGATTCCGATCAAGGGCACATCCCCAGTAGGGGATGTGCAGGAGGCAGCTGATCAATGTTTCTCTCTCATCAATGTTTCTAACTCTCTATTCCTCTCCCTTCCTCTCTGTAAAAAAAATCAATAAAATACATTTTAAAAAAAAATTTAGCGTGTGGTCGGGAGGGTCGTGGCGGACATTGGAAGACCTGGCCCTCTCCCATCCAGATGAATGCGTGGGGGTCTAGGAAGCAGTGTCACTCGGAAGCACTTAGGCCGGCATTTGCTCCGTGGTGTTCAGTGTATGTTGCAGCTCCTGTCATTGGTTATGAGGGACAGAAATGGAAGGGTGACTCTCAGGGGGGCAGCCCTGGCACTCAGAGGGCTTGTCATGTTTCTCTTTAAATCTGTTCTTTCCCTGAAGGCAAGGCAGGTCATTATCTTTTGAAAGCAAATGTATGCTGCAGCCCATTATCTCTGCGGGCATGACAGGGCCCAGTGTGGGCGGAGGGGGATGAAGTGGGCATGTGAGGATGTGGGGTGGAACTGTGAGCTTTTCTGCTCAGAAGCCCGGGCCTCCCTGCCTCCCCCAAGGCTGCAGGACAGAGACTAGCTTCTATAGCAACTGCCACCAGGACTCTGAATTCAACTCTCATGTTGCCTTCCTTCGCTGCGTGGCTTTGCATCGGTCACTTGCCCTCTCTGAGCCTCCGACTCTTCATTGCAAAATTAGATCGTTTCCATCTTGGGGTTGTTGTGAGGACTGAATGAGGTTATGGGCATGGAGCTCAACCGTCCTCATGCTGGGAGTGTGTGGGAGCTCCCAATATTCAGTGGCTGTTATTATCACGATTCCTCTGAGGGTGCTGTCCGCAGGGCTAATCTTGACATTCCTGCCACTGGAAGTGCTCTCCTTGGCCTGGGTAGGCCCCTTATCCTCAGAAAGGTCTCTCCCAGCCTGGCTGGTAGACAATAAACTGTGTCTAAATAACATGGTGAATAGTTAGCTTGAGGAGACTGAGTGGCTGTATAAATAGGTACCATCTTTTTTTAGAACACTGTTTGACAATATGTGTTAGACTTTAAAACCCGAGCTCAACCGTTATGAGGACGGTTAAGCTCCAACCACAGAGGGAGAAGTTATTTAAAAACCCTCCTAGGGCCGAAACCGGTTTGGCTCAGTGGATAGAGCATCGGCTTGGGGACTGAAGGGTCCCGGGTTCGATTCCGGTCAAGGGCACGTACCTTGGTTGCGGGCATATCCCCAGCAGGGGGTGTGCAAGAGGCACGTGATCGATGACTCTCTCTCATCGATGTTTCTAACTCTCTCTCTCTCTCCCTTCCTCTCTGTACAAAATCAATAAAATATATTTTAAAATAAATAAAATAAATAAAAATAAAAACCCTCCTAGGTACACACATACACAGGTGCCTCTCCCCTACATCGTGGCCATTTCTTTCCCTGGATGTTCATGGGCTCTGGGCCTGCAGAGGGAATGGTTCTCGGAGTGCTCGGGCCTGGTGCCTCTGCCAGCTCCTCCTAAGAGCAGGCCAACCGGTGCACAGCTCACCTTCCTTTACTTTTCATTCCAGTGGGTAAAGAGAATATCCAAATGTAATAAAAACTGTGTATCTAGGGAACATCCCACTATCATCTATCTATCCCATCCATTCATCATCATCAATTTATCAATCTACCCATCATCCCTCTATCAACCATTATATCATCACCATCATTATCAATCTACCTTCTGTCTATCAGCTGTTTATCCATCTATCCACCCATCATCAATTTATCAGTCCACCCATTATCCCTCTATCATGTTTCTATTATATCATCATCATCTATCATCTATCTACCTTCTATCACCTATCACACTTCTCTATCATCATCTATACATAATCATCTGTCATCTTTCTTCTCTCTCTCTCTCTCTCTCTCTCTCTCTCTCTCTCTCTCTCTCTCTCTCTTTTCCCCACCCTCCCCTCTATATTTTTAAAATGTGCACAACTAGGACCATTTACTTCATCGTCCTGTATCTTCTCTTTTTATGTTACCACATACCATTTTCAATTTCAGTGACCAAGTCTACTTTTTTTTTTTTATAGGACCTTTGATATTCGTCTCCATCCATCACAAGTTCTTTAACCAGTTCACTGCCGATGGACATGCAGTTTCAGGTAAGTCTCCTGTGAAAACCCTTTGGCATGGATCTCGGCACGCTGTGTAGGAATGCAGGTAAGTCCTGCGGTGGAGTTGCTGGCTCCAACGGGATGCGGGTTTTAAAGTCTAACACGTATTGTCAAACAGTGTTCTAAAAAAAGATGGCACCTATTTATACAGCCACTCAAAGTTTCCTCAAGCTAAATATTCACCACGTTATTTAGACAGTTTATTGTCTACCAGCCAGGCTGGGAGAGACCTTTCTGAGGATAAAACCCATCCGGGCAGCCAGCACAGCCCATTTATGTAGCTTTTATGGATCCTTCTGCCCATATCTTACCCATCGCTGTTGTCATTTATGCTTTATTTAGATCACCAAGCACAGGCAGTCTTGCATCTTGTTTCTGTCATAGTTATTCACTTTCTTGGCATTTCTCTCAGGGTTTTATTAGTCACTTCTTGCTCAGCTCCTAACATCTCTATCACCTGCGTGCTGGGATTTGGTTGCTGTCAAATGATTAGGATACTGAGGGGCCGTGGGAGGAAACTGGTCCCCAGAGCGCTGCTGCCTCTGAGGTGTGATTGATGGTCTGGTTGGTGGTTCAGGGCTGATTGCTCTGGGGTGCTACCATCTTGGGTCCATTTCTCTGTAAGTGAAGTTGGGGATCTCTGCTCAGGCTGCCTGAGAACCCCTGAGCCTGGTGAGATGCGGGGTTTGGGGCTTTGCTATGCATCTAAAACCCAAAGCCCAGATCCAGTGCTCACAAAGGTTTTACCTACACTGTGGCGTCGGCAAGAACCATTCTACACTTGGTCGTTGGAAAGCAGACCCGGGGGGCCAGGGAGGAGGGGACCCCGTTGGATAAGAAATCACAAAAACTAAGCAGGTCCCACAGGACCTTGAGGGAAGCACACCCCTGTCCTGTGAGGGTGAGGCCTCGGGTGGCGGGGGACGTGAGGTGCAGGCTGAAGGACAGGTGCCATTACTTCTTGCGTCCGGGTGTCAGTGTTTTGCTGGATGGTGATAACGGTCCGAGATGCTCACCTTGCCAGGGAGGTGGGGGAGTCGTGTTTTGAGCCCCACAACCATGATGTTCAAGCGGGTGAATCCAGCCCATGCGGGGTCAGGTGCTTGTTCTCTGCCAGGCACTGACTCGATATTGGAAATGAGGGCAATGACCACCCAACATCTTGCCCTCTCACTGAAATGCTATCTGTGCGTCCATACAGGCAACGCAGTCCACATGGGACTGGGAGAACCACCCGCCCATCTTATTAGAATGCGGCATGTGGGCTCTTCGGTTGTGTCCAAATCAGAGGCTCTCAACCAGGGTATCTGATGCCTCCCCCTCCCAGAAGGTTTGTCAATGTTCTAGCAACTGTATAAAACTTGAGGCTGGTGGGCTGCATGCCTTAAATGAGTTTGACATGCTTGTGGGGTTGGGCCGGTGCTACTGGATCCAGTGGGGGTTGGGCCGGTGCTACTGGATCCAGTGGGGCTTAGGCCGGTGCTACTGGATCCAATGGGGGTTGGGGCAGTGCTACTGGATCTAGTGGAGATTGGGACGGTGCTACTGGATCCAGTGGGGGTTGGGACGGTGCTACTGGATCTAGTGGAGGTTGGGACGGTGCTACTGGATCCAATGGGGGTTGGGGCGGTGCTACTGGATCCAATGGGGGTTGGGGCGGTGCTACCGGATCCAATGGGGGTTGGGGCGGTGCTACTGGATCCAGTGGGGGTTGGGGCGGTGCTACTGGATCCAGTGGGCAGAGACCAGGGATGCTGCTAAGTAGCCTGCAGTGCACAGGACCACCCTCCCACACCCTCACCTGCAGCAAAGATCCTCTAAAAGCACCTGTGTAAGCCACACACAGTCCTTGATCATGTAACTCCTCTGCTGGGCAGACCCGCTCTCCTGACTGACACTGGGGATCTCTCTATGTTTGTAGGTTTCAAGCTCATTTCCCAACGAATTCCAACACCCCCCGGAAAAAAAGATACCTCGACAACCGTTTTTGTTTTTCTAAAAAAAAAAAAAGAAAAGAAAAGAAAACGTTTATTAGGATACTCGAGGGTGGGGCCGGCTGAGGGACGGCATACGTGTACAATCAGTAGTGCTTGAGCAAATGCGAACAGAAAAGTCAAACATCACAAAACCACTTCCAAAGTCCAAAGGGCGAAGCGTGCACTTCTCACACGTGGTGGAGGGTCCCCGTGGGTGCGGGCGAGGAAGGCCGCGTGGGAGGGACCCCGGGGGACCTGGGCTCCTTCCTCAGGAAAGCAACACTCCGGCCCATGGGATACATGTATGTGCTTCAAAGGCAAAGCCGCAGGAAGCACACTACCAAGGGGAGACCGATCCGTTCCCCCCGTCCCCCCCGCTCAGAGGAACCCCTCTCCCAGGACAGAATCCTAACAGGACCCTAGAACCCGGAATCCTTTTGGCATTCCACCTCTGTCGTTCACCTTGCAGGAAACAGAAGGAACAGGAGCCGAGACAAACCCTCGGTGCGGAGTGAAAATTCGGCGCCAGCCCAAAGACCGCACTGGAAAAAGTCCGCATCCCACATCTCAACCCGCTTCTCAGCGGGGCTCGGCTTAAACAGGAGAAAATAATTTCAATATCAAGGGATAAGGCGCAGGAGATGAGAAAACTCTTTAAAGCCAACTCTGTGATGAGAAGTGTCCCCCCTCCTCCCTCGGGGGACAGTGAGAGGAGGGAAGAGAAGACAGATCATTAGGAGAACGATAAGGCCCTGGATTTCACGTTTCCGAAGCGGTTTCTTCAGCCCTCCGAGGACGATCAGCTATTTCCAGATCCAAAAGAGCGCAGCAGAATTATCTGATTGCCGTAGGCCTTGGCCGACGAAGGCAGGGCATTTCTGGGATTTGGTGTTATCATTCCCATTCTCTCCACCACTCCCCCACAACACACATTTTAGCTAGAGCTAAGAGAGAAAAACAAAACAAAATCCAGATCAAGCACGCTATGCATGCCGCAGATGCTGCATCCTACAGCTCTGCAGCATCTGGGACAGGGTGCTCAGGTGCCACTGTGCCAGGCAGGCTGTCCCTGTGACAGACACCCGGCCCGGCCACAGTGACAGGAGGACAGCCCTTTACCTGCGGGTAACAGCCCCGGAGTTGCCATCCGCAGGGCATCCATCGGTTATTCCAATTCTTTACCCTTCTTGAACCTTATGATGTCACGTTTGACAGGCACCAGGGGTCACTGCTCCTTTGAGGTTCTGCAATGCTGAGTGGGCACTGCCAGGGTTTGCTGTCCTTGGCCACAGCAGGCTGGCGTCTCCCGGTGTCCCTGGCACTGTGGCCGGGACATGATGGCTTGGACAGTTCACGGACAGGCCCACCTGGCCCCGCTCCCAGCCCTGAGGCTCCAAGGAAACAAAGGAAGGGCTGATGGTCTCTGGCCTGTCTCTCTCGGCACTTTCTACAGAACAAACACCGGGGACCGGTAAGAAAGCCCAGGCCGGGATGAAGAGAAAACAAGAGCAAACCTTCAGCAGAGGCCAGTGCCAAGCTTGGCGGCTGCCCTGGAGCGAGAATAAACTCCCCGTGGCAGGGGGACAAGATGCGGATGTGGGCACCTGCCAGAGGCACAGGACGGAGTCGCAGCTGCGCTGGTCAAATGAGTTGGAGACCTCGGGAGGCTGTGTTCTCGGTGAGCGCGGGCGGGCTGTGGCTCTCCACGGGCAGCTGATTAAAGCGGCGTCGGTGGGCCGGCCCCACTCCTCCGGGCTGGGGTTCCGAGTCATCAGAAGTACAGGTGGCACATCCCGCTGAACACTCCCCCCCCCCCCCAAGCCCGGGGGGAGACAAGGGGATCTAGCTCATCAGAGAGCAGCGGGCCACAAAGGGATGCCTGCAGAGTAGGCAGCAGGGAGGCTGAGCTAAGAGGGAGCTCAGGGGCATGTGGAATGAATAAAATTCCTACTCCGGGGATGGGCATCATCTTCAGATCTCCTGGCTCCTAAGAAAGGCGTCTCCACCTTCAAAAAGCCAGGGCTACCTGTGAAGGCCTCTGCCCGAACAAGAAGCAGTTGGGTCCGACTACGTTCAGAGGGCCGGGGAGGAAGAATGGATGGGAAGGGACCGTGTTACATGTTCAGGCAATACGTGACAAGGGGAAAGGTAGCGGGCGGGGGCAACAATCCATATGAAAGGGAACCGAGGCAGCCCATACCTTAATGCACTATCCTTGTGAAATGAAATGTCCCACTACCTACACCCCGGGTCGGAGGCGGTGGCGAAACCCACAGGTTTAAGGCCTGGGCAGTGAGAATGGGTGTTGGAGGCACCGCCCTCCGGAAGAATTCCAGACAACAGGCTTCAAACAAAGGGTCATGTGAGAACAAAAGCCATGTGGAACCCAGGACGTGTCCGATCTATCCGTGAGAAGCCCGTCTGAGGAATAAGAGAAGAACGTAGCTTCTTAGGGTGTCCAACCCAATTCCCGGCTGTTTGACTCTCTTAAAATCTCTAGAAAGACATTATTTTCTCTGTTACCCAGGTATTTGTTCAGGCTTGCTTTTCCCAGAGACACTGCTGTCTAACTGAAGGGCCTGTGGCTCTTTTGTTAGGACACGGTTCCTATTCGGATCAGTAAGGGACATCCTCAGATTGTGTGATCGTCACTCATGCAGGTGTCCTCCCGTTGCACCTGGATGGGCCTCCTCTCTCCAAACTCCTCAAGGCCAGTGCAGATTGACCCTTCTGCAGGGACCATGCCTGGGCCATTTCATAATTTACTCTGTTGCCATTGCTTTTGGTCTTCTTGCAAAGATGGGTCTCCTCCCATGATCTCATTTGCTTTATCAAAGAGCTGAAGCAGCCAAGATCACAGGGGTATAAATTCAGGAGATCAAGGACAGCTGCAAAGGAGAATTAGGAAATGGGAACTCGCTTCAGCAGGCCTTTTCTGGCCACGAGTTTAGACTCAAAGTAGTAGTGCATGGCCCGACTACATGAATGGAAACATGTTTTTGAAGAGACAGCTCCGCTCTTTGGTAAATACTAACAGCAGAAATGCATTATACTGGATTCTAAGAAAAGAATGTGCTGATTATTTTACCTCCCACCGCTCTTCCCTCTCCTTCCCTAGGCACTTGCCACTGACTTTGAAATGCTTCTGCCCCCACTTCCCTAGGGCGGCAGCTGGAGTGTGGGGAGTGCCTGGCTTCGGGTACAAAGGGGCAGGTGGGACACAGCTGGAGAGGACTCATCCTCAGAGCGTGCACATGACGAGAGCAGTCTTAACACGGCCCGAATCAAGGGCCACCCAGTCCTGCCCTGTATTTGATGAACTCAAACACACGGCTTCTTAAGACATTTTTAACTACAGGATAAACACGTGTTGTTGTTTTTTAACAATTCATTTTAATGGAAACCACACTCCTAGTGCATTTTGGATACAGTTTGCTCTACTTGGTGAAAAAAATACCTAATGTAATTACCAACTTACAGGTTTTCTACTAGAGACTCGAAAAATTCAAATATGGAAAAATACAGATTCAGGTGGCTTTCTGGATTAATTCCTCTCTCTATTGTGCACTCCTTCCTCTCTTCCTGTGCTCTATTAACAAGATACACAAAACAAAGACGGGCCGAAGAGCTTCAACAACGAAGTGGAATGAGTGTGCTTCTAATTGGTTTGGCAAAGGTGCCTTCCTTTTTCTCTGAAATAAGTTGGGCGTGGCTAGCCTTGGTCTGGGATTCACAGTCTCCCTGGACAGAAATGACTGTTTTGGTTTTGTCGAAGTCAACTATAAGGAGCTGCTCTCCGCCAGAGGCCCAAGCCTCAGCGGACAGGCCTTGAATTGGGTGGCTCGCTACATGCGGGGACTGACAGACAAGAGGTAGTGACTGATTTCTGCTTTGAGGGCAGCAAAAGACAATCAGACACGGAAAGGATTGAAGCCACTTGCCTGCTCCAGTCCCGGGGTAAACGATGGGGTTTGAGGGCCACTGGGTTCAACTGAGATCACGCTGAATGGCAGTCACACGTGCTCGGCATGATTTTAATAGCTCTCGAATGTGTTGTCTTTCCCCTCGGCTATTTAATCAGCAATTTATTTTCAAATTGAGGATTTGGTAACTCTAATATGCTTCTTTCGTGGAAGAAAAATGAGATCTTTGTTGGTGATAGATGAGGCTTTTCAAAATGTAATTTATGTGTTGTACACCCACGCGTTCTTCAGTACAGGGTACCCTTGTTAGCCCTGATAATGCCCATATCCTCTTGGTCATCGGAAGCTAATTAGAGCTGCTGTTTCCCACAGAAGTAATCAATAGCTTTCCACAGTAGACTACACGGACTTAGACCCACATGCAATTAGTCCAGTGTAGATACACAGGGATATCTTAATTAAAACAAAAATATGCCTTGTAAGGGCTAGGCAGTCATAGATGACTGGGATTCCAAATATTTTGACACATTTAATGGGTTTATTCAAAGTAAGTCTTTAGGAAACTTTTTACTAATCAAATTTGTTTGGTGGGTTTCCCTGGAAAACATTTGGAAGTGAAAAAACGTTGGTTCTTAGTATTATCCATTTATATTTATTAACACTTGGATATAAATGCACTTCAGACACCAATGGAGCTCAAAGTCTATGCCTTCAGCTCGGAGTTAATAGATTTTTTCCAACCCCAGTAACGTGACTAATTCTTACAAGGCAAGCGTCGGCGGGCCGAGGGGATCAGCATGACATGGGTACCATGGCCTCCTCCTCCAGCCCCTCTGCTGAGATGATAAGAAGGGCGATGTTCCCAGCACTCTGCGAAGGTGGAATCGCTTTGCGATTTGGTTCTGGAGACACAAGGCTACCAGCACCCGATCCCTGTAGATTCTGAAATGCACCATTCCCACCGGACTTCCCAAGCGCACGCTAGGGTCTTCTTAAGGGAGAGGATGATGGAAGATGAGTTGACCTTGATCCACAAGTCTTTCCTTCTCACACAGTCCGTCCCCGTCTGCCCTGGGGCATGCAGAACAAATGCAAGCAGGTTCCTGATGACCTTCAGACCGAACTGCTCTCCACAGCGGCCAAGCCATCACAGTCCGGAGAGAACTCTGCACCCTGGCATGGACCCGCTTCGGAAGAGAGGGTAGCATGCCCCCGTCCCGTCCCAGTCAAAGCCGCCTTTGTCAGGCAATGTGAAAACCAAGCTACTGGATTATGGCAATGGCAAGAATGCCATCAGCCACTGCGGAGCATTTACCAGTGGCCTCCAGCTTCCTCCCATCATAGGATGCATTTACTGGTGCACACGCGTTTCATCAAGAAATGGTAACAAAAGCGAGGCTGTTCTGTCTCCTCCTCCTGTCCACAGCCACGTGACGCAGAGCCCTCTGCTGAAGCAGGAGGCCCCTCGGAACCGGCCTGGAAAGGGCTGTCCAGGGAGTTAATGCCGGAGCTAACCCTACTTAAGCGGGGGAAAACAAGCTCCGCGTGTACTGTATTAAACCATCAGTAAAAAATGGAGACAAGATCATTACTCTCAAAATATAGGAATCCAACAGTTGAAATCATTTAGTAGTAAATATTGATAGTTGTCTACATAGAACATCAAACATGTAAAGGGGTTAGAGGGACGCTTCAGCTCTGCTGGGCGCTTCGTGGGAGGGCTTCCCACGTGGGTAAGGCTCAGGAGGGGGAGGTCGATGACTCAGGCTTGGGAAGCTTCACACCCACGCCCCTTGGGAAGCTTCACACCCACGCCCCTCACTCTGTTTTCACTAGAAGCCACGCACTGCCTCTGGGTGTGATGGGTGCTTTTGGGTTTGCAGGAGAGAGCAGAACTGGCTACGGAACACAAACTTCAGCGCCGAAAGGGGTAGAACGTATAGAAAGGTGAGCATTGGGACAAACCAAAGTCCATCAAGGATTCTCTTGAGGAGAATCTCTGATTTGTGACCAAAAAGCTTGGGAGGCTGCATGATGTCATCAGACACCAAAGCCACCGCAGGAAATGGGGAAGATTCTGGAGCAATACTAACTCCTTCGCTAGCCGGCAAAGGGCAGGGTTCAATGGTTAAAATCATCATCATGAAAAACTTGGCCCCGTTTGCTTCACAGCCAGAGGTACAAACCGCCCCTTTACAATACAACGTCCCCAGAGCCTTCCGAGTTTGGAATGTGGCACTGCATTGGGAATCCCACAGAAGCCCTAAGGATCACAAGAAGCTTTCTTAAAAAACAAAAACACACACACACAAAAAGGGGGGAAAGTTTCAGTTGGATGAAACTGCTTGAGCAATGTTTCCACGGAGCGCCTAAAACTGGAATTTCAGATATACAAGAGGACAGGAAACGGATAATGTGGTGTGTGTCTTTTTACAGGTCCATGTTGTTTTTGAAACGCAGCTATAACGTTTCTGCCAAGGACCAAGGTAAGAGGGTGGACAGGGCGGTTACCACCAGAACCAGCCGTGGGCTCAGACCGCAGCTCGGAGAGGCAGCCATCGATTTTGTGGTTATGTGGCTGGAGGCACCGGCAAGGCCATCCTTCTCGTAGTCGCGCTGAAAGAAAGAATGCTGTCATTACCATCCGCCGCAGGGGTTCATCCCATCGCCCTGTATGTAACCACACATCTTCCTCTCTCTCACCCCCGGCCCCTAACTAGCTTCTGTCACTCATCGAAGCTGGCCCAGGGCTTCCCAATTCACTGCCCTGTGGTGTATAGGAAGCATCATGAATCTGGGTGAGAACTAGATACTTCTGACAAGCTGCTCAGCATTCATATTTTTGCTCCTATTAACGGATTTTAAAATCTACTCTTGGGGGTAGGTGGGATGTGAATTGTCATCCTCCCTCCACTTCCCAGATCCCCTAGTAAGTACGCAGCATGGCATTCTGTCCTTCTGGGACCACTGACTGGGAGGAGGACAGGAAGAATCACCTGAGAACACTTGCCCAGGTCAACACCAGCTCAGAGGGCTCCCAGGTCACATCGGGATCAGCAGAGCAGGCAGGGGCAGCCTTGCCCTGCATTGGCCTAGATTTTGTAGATGAAGGAGCCTCCCTGCTGGTCTGCAGGAGAGCCCACGCCAGCACCCAGGCTTCCTGTGTTTGACTTGATCCAATATCTGCCATCTCCACATGCAATCAATATAAAGTCCCTGAGATTCTTTCCTTCCATCCCAAGTCTTCAAACTATGACACAGCACATGTCAATCTGGACCTGCCCCCTCCTCGTCAGCATGGCTGGCCTTCCACAGGATGCGCTACTCCCTCCCCCTCCAGCACCGGCTCAATCCCATTATGTCACATCTCCCCACAGTGAGCCAGGATCATGACAGAGTCATCCATCTCCTCACCTGTAAATTGGGAGAGTTACTCGGCTGCCCCAGATACCTCTGGGTTGCCATGGCAATGAAAGGAGCTAGAGGACATCCAGGAAGCAGGGAGAGTACTTTTCTGTGCGGGGTGATGGCATGTGCCTGTGGCTTTGGGACAATGGTATCCACGCTGGATCCAGTTCTGAGGTGAGGAGCCCGGCTCCCTCACTCGATTCTAACTTTGTCCAATGGCTGCACCTTGCTCGAAGTCCAGAGGAACATGGAGGGTGCCTTCCTTTTTTTTTCTGGTCTGGAAACTTTGTTGTCTCTGAGCCCTTCGCATCAGACCCTGCCCCCGGGGCCCTGTCTCTAAGATGCAGCAAGGAGACCCCGAAAGAGACACAACTTACATCAGAAAGACAGAGGTGTGTGCTGCCAGACACATTGGATTTCAGCTTCTGTGCCTGAGGAGAGACAAACACACATTTAAAGTCACTCCTACATAAAATGAGAGAGTAATTACTACAATCCATTAATCAACTGTCTAGCCCAGTGCCATTGATAGCAGGTGAAGTTAATAACATTTTATTTAATCCAATATTTGCCATCACCACGGATAATCATAAAATGATCCAGATACTTCACGTTCGTTTTTTTCCATACCACGTCTTCAATATGACAGGACATCCCATTTCGGACCTGCCCTATTTCAAAAGCTAATAGCTCCCTGGGGCTGGTAGAGGAGGTACAAGATGAGGTTACTAAAGATCACGTTTTGAAGTCATATTTTGAACTCATGCTTCTGAATGTTAATTTCTGAGACATCCCTTCAAAGCACAAATGTTGCAATAAAAATCCCCGTGTATTGGTAATATAGAGATAGGAGCTCCTAAAACTTGTTTGTTCCTTTGCTTATTCATTGCTCCAGTCAACACTTACATGCTCTTTTCTCAGGCAGGGCCTATGGCGATATGAACACAGGGATGGAGGCCCTGGGCTCATGAGGCTGCCCTGTGGTGAGTGAAACACTCACTGATTGGACAGGACAGGGCGTCTTTCAGACAGGTCTCCTCAAGGAATTGTGCGGGCATCATAGATCCAGCATTCTTAAAATCTGGTGGTCAGGGAGCTGAGCTGTGAAAGCTATGTGTTCGCTAACTCCATACAACTGGAACAAGTCTCTGCTGGGCTCGCCTCTGAGAACTGAGTTGAAGGAAAGGTCCCATCACTCATACAACTGCAATGAAAATTGCCGAGTGGGTGGCAGCCTCCTCCTTTTACAAAAGTAAACAATTAGAGTGCAGTGAAGTTAAGTGACTTCCCCAAGGTCACCCAGCGATTTTCTTGGGAGTCAGGACACAGACTAGGTCTCTCAAAATCTTAAAGCTGTGCTCTTTCCTACATTACAGTGTTTCTCCCAGGGAACCCTGGAATGCCTTACCTGCCCCCAAACCCACACAACCCCTCCCAGGACCCCAACGGCACCAAATGTCAGAGAGCCCATGTGCCAACAAGATGGACCTAGTTCGGCATCACACCAGAATCAGGGGCATCTGGGCAAGCAGTTCCATGGGAATGGCCCCGGCAGGCCCCGTGCCTGCTGCAGGACTTTGCAGCTCACTGAAGACACAGGAGCTGAAATGATAGCATCTTTACCCAAGGAGTAATTTACTGGCCATAATGCTACTTGGGAGGCATCGTAATCTTTTACTGATATTTGCATATGCCAGCTGTGCATATGAAATGGAAACCTTTAAACAGGCATCAAGAATAAGACGCCGGGAAGCACCCCCAGGCTGCTCAAAGGTCACTAAATGTTATATATAAGAAGATCAGAGGGGAAACTGGAAGAGGAGTTTAACCTTATTCCACAACCTGCTTTTAATCTGTATTAACATCAAATCTTGGTCTATGGCATTATTACCTGCAGAGAAAAACGTATAGCACTCTTCCAAGTTTTATTTCTGTTTGAGAAATAAATTGGAATTGTGCCCAGACACCACGATGACCCTAAAACATCACTTCTGTCTTTTCTTTCCTAGGCCATAATCTACAAAAGGCACACACTTGTGCTGAGGGCCTTTGCATAACTAAGAAATTCACTCAGATGTGCAGAAAAGGCAGCCAGTAGAACACATGAGCTGAAACCGGTTTGGCTCAGTGGCTAGAGCACATGTGTCAAACACAAGGCCCGCGGGCCAAATCCGTCCCGCCAGGCCTTGCAATGTGGCCCGCACCACGCTGTCATCACTGCACTCCGCTGCGTTTCCATCACAATGACAGTTTATGACTGTTCAGTAAACCATTCGGCCCGCGATTTAGGCTGGATTTTAGATTTTGGCCCCTTCTCTGATTGAGTTCGACACCCCTAGGCTAGAGCGTCAGTCTGTGGACTGAAAGGTCCCAGGTTCGATTCTGGTCAAGGGCATGTACATTAGTTGTAGGGCACATCCCCAGTAGGGGGTGTGCAGGAGGCAGCTGGTCGATGTTTCTCTCTCATCAATGTTTCTAGTTCTCTATCCCTCTCCCTTCCTCTCTCTGAAAAATCAATAAAAATATATTTTTAAAAAATAAAGTAGAAAACAAGACAGCTTCAAGGTGTTTCTGGACTTGTGCCCACAGCTGAGCAGCCCACAGTGGCCTCTGAGTCCCCAGGGCTGGGCCGGCCTCCTTCTGACGTGGGTCTGCATCATTAGCACAGCACCTCGAGTTTTCCTCATTGTCTACACAGCTAGATGCCTACCAGCTATACGTCTTACCTCAGGTGCCTGTGGAAGTACTTGTATAATACTTCCACCGACAACACTAGAAGTCTCCCATCTTAATAAGGATTCTTAAGAGGACGATGGATTTCCACAGGTAGTTCTGGTCCTCGTTAGTTGCTGAGCGTCCATCTGTGTACAGGACTACAGGCATACAACCAGGTAGACGTGCACAGGTCTACCTTCCCAGCCTTTTGCCCTCCATCTGGGAGTGGCTAAGTGTTCAATCACGTGGGAAAGCTGCATTTAGCCTAGCGGTCACCAACCTTTCGGACCTCAGGGATCACCAGTGATCCAGGGACCACTGGTTGGTGACCACAGATTTAGACCACATCCAAGTCTGCAAAGTCCTTGGGCTCTTTCTCCTGTAAGTGGGCATCTTGTGGGCCTCTATGGAAAGGAAATGGTCACCTTCTGGCCTTGTTTCCTTATAGTCCCACTGGCTGCACTAAATCTGGAGGCAGCAGCCCCAAGCTCCTCTGACCTTGGGGACCGTTCAGGTTGGCATATGTGGATGAAATGCCGAGGAAAAGTAATAATGGACAGCCAGGCCCTTCCAGATGCCCTGGGGCAGTGGTCGGCAAACTCATTAGTCAACAGAGCCAAATAGCAACAGTAAGATTGAAATTTCTTTTGTGAGCCAAATTTTTTAAACTTAAGCTTCTTCTAACGCCACTTCTTCAAAATAGACTCGCCCAAGCCATTGTATTTTGTGGAAGAGCCACACTCAAGGGGCCAAAGAGCCACATGTGGCTCGTGAGCCTCGGTTTGCCGACCACTGCTCTGGAGGACAGCCTTCTCTTCTGTTTCCCAACCCACAGATGCACATAGCACTCCAGAGGCTAAGCGGTCCATGCACACAAGCCTTGAAGTGCTCTGCTTACTTAGCATGTGCACACAGCTTCCGACGGAGCGGTCTGGTGCAGACCTGAGCAGAGCAGGGACCACAGGAAGGTCTGTGAGTCTGATCTGTGTAGACAGAATGCCACCAGCTCCAGGCAAGTGACAGGCTGGACGCCCAGGGCCACTCATGGCAGAGCCTGGGACTCTAGCCAGGTGCATGTCAGGCTGGCTGCATGCTTATCGGCCCTGTGAGCAGTCTGAGCCCCGCCAGTGACCCCCTGAAATCAGAAATCTTTCTCCACAGCCCACCTAAGAAAACCTGGCTTAGAAGGCCCTTGCAAAAGCCTGCTAGTTCACCTTTTAAAGCTTCATCCTGAGCATTTTTTAAAGCCTCATCAAGCTATCACTGTCTGCTAGTCAGGTATGATAAATGCTAACATCCAATTACTGGCTTCCCCCACTTTCCACTCTTGCAAAGAGTAATTCACATACTTTGAATGTTGTCTCCATTGACGGAAACTGAGATTGGGCAGAAAAGCTTAAAAAAAATATTAGATCCTGTAAGATATAAGGTAAGCAAGAAACTGGAAGGACCCCTTTTATCGCCGGGTTCTAAACCGGTAAAACCAAAAGTGTCCCAGCGGAAGTGCTGGCAGGACTCTCAAGGTCGCTCAAGACATCCTGCTCAGCGCGGGATGTGCAAGGACACCCGCCCCAGATTCGAAGCCGTACCCTGTGTGACTTTAAAACATGGCATCTCTTAAAAAGGAGACAGGACAGAAGAGAACGGATTCATTTTTCTACAAGTCACCTTTTAACCATTGTTCCAGCCCGTTGAAAAATGAATTCTTTAATCTCTCTTAGGAAAGAGGGCTTCCTACCAGTGAATTAACAGTGACCTGGCGGCGGGGGGAGACGCCTGACTCGGAGCTGGGGGAAACTCCACCACCAACGCACAGAACCACCATCTCTCCATTTTGAAGATGAGAACCTGAAGATGATCCTGGAGAAACCCACCCCAAACCAGAAGCTCCCCCCCCATTACTATAGAACAATTCTATTGTGTTTTTGATATGTGCTCGCCTGGTCATTTCTGCGCAATGACCCCTCTCTCTCTCACTCTCTAGCTCTCTCTCTCTCTGGAAATCCAGGGGACCTGCTCTTTAGCCACGTCGTGAGCCTGTCCAGCACTTCCATAAAATTGTCACCGGCAGTCAGTCATCTGCAAGTCCAGGCACGTCACCTAATAGGATTTCCAGGGCCTCGTAATTGCTGGGCGGACCTCACCAGGCGCTGGCACGAGAGGGTTAATAAATGCATTAGCTGCTGTTAACCTCTGCTACCTGGAGTCAGGCTGTCCACACTCCTTGCTTTTTAGCCCGGTGATTAGCATTTGGAAAGCCTGCCTGGGTGTCCACGGCTTTCCTGCACAGAACGCACAGAAACACAATTTACAGCTCCCGGTCCAGCCAGGCCACGGCCAATGCACGCGCCTTCTGCCCACAGGAGGCTCTCCCGGCCCGGGGCTGGCGGCAGGCTTCGGAGCAGCGTGCTTTGCTCTGCTGATGGGATTGGAGACTTAGAAGTGCACCCACTCGGAACCTGGCATTCCAGCCCCGGGACTTGGCTTCTGCAGAGAAGCCGGTGTTTAATCTCGGGTATTTAGGTAGCTGTCAGCCAGCGGGGCGTGCACTGTTTCTCCGCTCGCCTCCACGTCTAAGGAGAGCCGGCTTCTGCTCTGCCTCCAGAAAGCTGAGCCGGAGGAAGTTGCCCAAATCCAATAGCAACAGACCGTCCAGGCTGCAGCCAAATGGTTGTAATTAACGATGCTTCTGGTTCTCTTCTCCCTGGCTTTACTG